TGATTCATTATTATTGCCACTTAACCAAATTTTATTTTCCCTTGTGGAAGTCTCTGTTTATCTTATCTGACATATGGGTTTCAAAATACTTAAAAATCCCTAGGATTATTTAAACATCACTGTCCATGATTCTAGCATTAGTGAAGTACGACATTATAATTGAAATCATTTCTCTTGGGAGTTGCTCCTACTAATTGGAGCTTTTCATTTATTCCAAATCTTTCAATGTGATTTAGAGTTCTAATAGTGTGAGTTAAAAGTTAAAAAGATAGGTTTTTGCCATATCATGGTGAATTCTAGGTGGAGATGTTATTCTGGAATAAAGATTATTTTAGTTAAGGCATGTTACATTTTTGATGAGATATCCAACTAAAAGGTTAGTTAGAACCTTTCTAACAAAAGTTAGAATTTGAAAAAGTCTAGCAAATTAAAGGGCTTCACAGGTGGCGCTAGTGGCAAAGAATTCACCTGCCAATGCAGGCGATGCAAGAGACCAAGAGACTGAGATTCAATCCTGGGTGGGGAAGATCCCCTGAGAAGGAAATGACAACCCACTCCAGTTTTCTTGCCTGGAGAATTCCATGGACAGAGGAGCCTGGAGAGCTACAGTCTGTGGGGCCACAGAGAGTTGGATGAGACTAAGCACAAATCTTTCAAAGTCAGAACTTTAATTTTCACTGTACCCCCACTCAGTGTTTTATATGCTTTAAATATAGAAAGCCTCGGTAATTTTGGACTATTATCTATGGCAGTTTATTTTAGCACTAGGAAAAATGAATTTTGGACCACTGATAATGTTCACTGGCAGAATACTCATAAGAAGTGAATTCTAGTTAAATAGTTCTGCTGCGAGTCAGTTTGTTTTGGAAAGTGTGACCTAGTTTCATTGCTTTGCAGGAGACCAGCCTGAGGTGTGCCCCGCAGGGGGCTGTTGCCAGGGGTCTGCCTCTGGCAGGTGGCGTTGAGTGGCATCCCTCTCCTCGTTCTGCTCACCGTGTTTAGCTGCCAATGTGGGGCTTTATGTTCAGGGACATATGTTGAGTCACAGATCAAGCCCCTCAGCTGACGTTTTTCCACCGCCACTGACCTCCAGCCTCGCAGGAAACCCCTGGGTAAGCAAGCTCCAGCAGGCCCCGCTGTTTAGTCTGCACCGTGCCGGGCAGGGCTCGCTTACTCCCTTGATTGGCAAGCCCGGCACTAGGAAAACAAATGCACCAGGGGTCCCACAGAAGCTCGCTGCCCTCTGTCTTCCCGGCCTGCAGACGCCTTCAGATCTGTTTGGACTGAGGCTTGACAAGAGCGTCACAGGAAGCCCACCCTCCTCCCGGAGCCCTGTGACGGGGACAGGTTCTCACAGTTGCAGCTTCCAGGCTGCAGGGACCGTGCTATCCACTGCCTGGGAACTGTGAGTCTCATCAAAGAAGGAAATAGCTCAAGTGGTTTGTTGTCAATGAAGATGAAATTAATTGTTTGACTGAATCTGCCATTCTAATGGTACATGATACCATGATTAAGATGGGGAGAAGCAGTAGGCAAGTCACGACACATGTGAGGTTCAGGAAAAAAAAAAAGAAGAAAAAGATGTGAGGATAAGGAAAATTAAGAAAAAAAATCAAATTTCACTTTAAAAAAACACAATAAAAGAAAAAAGTGGGTAAACTAGGCTCATTGAAACCGTAAACTTTTATGCTTGCCAAGGACACTGTCACAAAAAGAAATGAACAGACTACCCACAAATTGGGGCAAAATGTTTGCAAATCATAATCTAACAAGAGACATGCATTTAGAATATATAAAGAGATCTTACAGTTCATTGAAGAGAAGATAAATAACGCAATGAAAAGCGGGTGAAGAACCTGGATAGCTCTTCGAGAGTGGTCCACACACAATTTCATGATGAAAAGGTGGTGATGGTGAGCCATCAGGGGCCACAAATCAAAATCACAGTGAGACACCGCGTCCTGCACCAGGGCGGCCCAGCAACCAAGACAGATCACAGCGGGTGCGGTAAGGACGTGAGGACGTGCACTCTCGGACGTGGCAGGTGGGGATGCAGATTGCTGTTGCCACTTTGAAGAGCAGTTTGACAGTTTCTCAAAAAGTTAAGTATAAAATTACCAAATGACTCAGCAATTCCAGTCTTTAGTCAAGAGACTAAAACCATATGCCCACACAGCATTTGCAGATTATTGCTGTCTCATTTAAAAGCTTTCCCCATTTTACTTTTTATTTACTATGTTCCAGCTTTGCTGAGATATAATTGACATAGAGCTTTGCATAAGGTTAAGGTGTACAGCATAATGATTGGATATTCGTACCTGTTGTGAGATGATCACCATGGTGTCTAGCTAGTATCTGTTACTGTATATAATTACATTTTCCCTTGTGATAAGAACTTGTAAGACCTACTCCCTTAGCAACTTTCAAATATATGGTAAGTACAGTGCTATTAGCTGTAGCCATCCTGTGGCATCATGTCCCAAGGACTCATTTATGTGATGACTGGGGGTCTGCCCCTTCTGATGCCCTTGGTCTCTTTGCCCGCCCCCACCTCTGGGAACCACCAGTCTGTTTTCATTCTTAAGGGCTCAGCTTTTTTAGATTGCTCATATAAGGAAGGTCATCCTGTGTTTATCTTTCTCTGAGTTATGTTGCTCAGCATGATATCCTCACGGCCTATCCACGTTGTCACAAATTTCCTCCTTTTTATGGCTGAATAATATTTCATTTCATATATATATGTGTATATATACACACACACACACACACACACACACACACCACATTTGCTTTATCCATTCATCTGTTACTGCACTAGTTTACTTCCATATCTTAGCTATCTTGAATAGTGCTGTAGTGAACACAAGGGTACAGATATTTCTTCAAGATAGTGATTTCATTTCCTTTTGGGACATAGACCCAGAAGTATAATCACTGGATCATTTGATAGTTATTTCTAAGCTTTTGACAAATCACCATGTGTAATTTGCTGCACCAATTTACATTCCCACCAAAAGTGCACAAGGGTTCCCTTTTCTTCACCTCTTCACCAACACTTGTTATCACTTATCTTTTTGTAAAATAGTCATTCTGAGCTGTGTGAGGTGATACCTCAGTGTGGTTTTGATTTTCACTTTTCCAGTGATGAGTGATATTGAGCATTTTTTCATATATCTATTGGTCATTTATATTTCTTCTTTGGAAGAATGTCTATTTGGGCCCTTTGTCTTTTTTTGATTAGTTTTTGTCTTTTTTTGCTCTTGTGTGAGTTCCTCATATATTTTGAATAGTAACAGTTGTCAGCTGAGTGGTTTGCAAGCATTTTACCCCATTCAGTATGTTGTCTTTTCGTTTTGTTGATAATTACAGCTTCTTAGCTAGATGTTTGTTTTTTATTCTGTTGCTTCTGCTTTAGGAGTCATATCCTGGAAATTATTGCCAAGATCCATGTTAGGGAGCTTTACCTCTATGTTTTCTTCTAGGAGTTTTGTGGTTTCAGGTCTCATGTTTAAGCCTTTAACCATTTTGAGTGAATTTTTGTGAGTAGTATGTTAGGAGTCTAGTTTCATTTTTTGTCTATGAATATCCATTTCCCTAGCACTGTTTACTGAGGAGACTGTTTTTTCCCTGTTAAGTATTTTGGCTCCTTTGTCAAATACTAGTTGACTGAATTTGTGCAGTTTCATTGCTGGGCTCTTGATTCTGTACCTTGGTTTTTGTGTTTGTTTCGTTGCCAGAACCACGCTGTTTTGGAAATGGTAACTCGCAATCAGAAAGTGTGATCCCCCCAACTTGGTCCTTCCTCAGGACTGCTTTGACTGTTTGGGGTCTTTGGTGATTCCATGAAAATTTTAGGATCATTTCTTCTACTTCTGTTAAAAATGTGGTTGCAATCTTGATGGCATTGGATAGCATGGACATTTTAACAATATTAATTCTTCCAATCTGTGAACATGGATAGCTTTTCATTTGTGTGTATCTTTTTCCGTTTCTTTTATTATGTTTGCATGTTGACAAAATACCCTTAATTATATATCCATTTTCTTAATGTAAGTTTATCCAAGGGCACTGAATGGAAAATATGAATTTACAGGTCACATCAGCCTCGAGTATGTAGACATCCACTTTCATGAAAACACGGGGATCCTCCTGGATGTGGAAGGTTAGATCCCATCCTCATAAACTGATGAGCCTGACACGTGGTCCCAGCGATGGACAAGTGTCTGACACTGAGATCTTTTAGAAGGACACGCCTTTTTCATAGTTAAAAGGTGGCCTTCTGTGATAGGGCTTCCCTGATAGCTCCGTTGGTAAAGAATCCACCTGCAATGCAGGAGACCCAGCTTTGATTCCTGGGTCAGGAAGATCTGCTGGAGAAGGGATAGGCTACCTACTCCAGTATTTTTGGGCTTCCCTTGTGGCTCAGCTGGTAAAGAGTCCGCCTGCAATGTGGGAGACCTGGGTTTGATCCCTGGGTTGGAAAGATCCCCTGGAGAAGGGAAAGGCCACCCACTCCAGTGTTCTGGCCTGGAGAATTCCATGGTCTGTATAGTCCATGGGGTCACAAAGAGTCGGACACGACTGAGCGACTTTCACTTTCACTTTTAAAAGGTGGCCTTCTGTATAAAATTCTGAGTGAGGAAAGCATCTTTAAAAAGTTAAGCATGGGCAGAATCCAGCCATTGAAAGTGTGTGCTCTGGATTTCTGAATTTTCTCAGCGCTTGAGCACAGCACGGGTCTGTGTTCTGTTGGTGAGCCCTGAGCTTTCTGATTGCAGACAGACCCCGCTCTCCTCCTGATTCCCCGCTCTCCTCCTGATTCACTGAATGATGCTCCTGCGCTGCTCTGAGAGCCAAGACGTGGAGGAAAATGCACCTAGGCTTTCTGACATCTCCAGCCATTGATTGTCAGAGGTTGAAACACAGATAGTTCTTCTAAGAGAAAAGAAGCATTGGTTTTACTCCAACATTGTTTATTACGTGACGAGTGGACTGTCCTCTCATCCACACACATGAGGCCCCGGCTTGGCCGCAGGCAGCAGCTCCCGGAGTGGCTCAGACCTTGCTGGAGAGATGACCACAGAAATGGCGCTCTCTGGCTCTTCAATGTTTGGCTCTGGCGACTTGGAGGCTTGGTTGTCAGAGCAACAGATGTTTTTCAAAGACTTAAAGGGGAAGAAGTTATCAGATTCCATGCCCGCGCCCATCATGGATCGCCTGCCAAGAAGGGGCATCTGAACAGAGTGCCCGGGGCAGGGATGCACCAAGGTCTGCAGGGAGGCCCTCAGAGGTGACTGTCTTCTGAACAAAACGAACTCTTTCTCAGGGCTGGCTCACTCTGAGTTTAGCCCTCAGGTGCAGTTTTATCATCAAAGAGGGAAGCCTGTCCTGTGGGGGCCTGAGCATGGCTTCGGTGTCGGGGCGGGTCTGTCTCCTGGTCCTGCTTCACCCTGACCTTAGCCTGGAGCATCGTGGATGCTCACTATGTATCTGGGCTCTGCAGTTTCCCAGATCACCAGGCTGAAAGGCCCCCAGGGTCCCCAGAGTCCTTGGATCCAAACTCCACTTTGGTGAGTTGTAGTTTTCCAAAGAAGCAGACCACATCACGGTGACGGGAAAGATGGGCTTACAGGATGTGCACGGCGGTGGCTGTGGGGCGGGCCTCAGGAAGCTGGTGGGCAAGGCTGTGCCCCGCGGAGTGGACCAGCTGCACTGGACTTTGCCCGGCCCGTCTCCCGTCCCCAGCGTCCTGCCTCTGACTGTCCTGAGTGTTGGTGGAGCTGTGGGCTGCACGGTGACCCAGGTTCATATGTTAAAGTTGTAACCACCAGCACCTCAGAGATGGGAATTCGAGAGGTGATTGATTTAAAATGAGGCTGGTGGGGTGGCCACCGCAGCTCAGCCCAGGGAGGAAACCACCAGATTTCAGAGACTGTGAAGCAGAAAGACCAGCTGGTGCCTGTTTCATTCAGAAGAACAGGCAAAAGCCAGCCTGAAACCGACCAGTTTATACCGTTTGTGTTTTCATTAAAGGCGCTTGAGTTTAAGTGCCTGCCAGCCCAGGTGGCTCGGATGGTAAAGAATCTGCCTGCAGTGAGGGAGATGCAGGTTAGGTCCTGGGTCGGGGAGACCCCCTGGAGAAGAGGGTGGCAGTGCACTCCAGTCTTCTTGCCTGGAGAATCCCAATGACAGAGAAGCCTGGTGGGCTGCAGTCCATGGGGTCACAAAGAGTTGGACACGACTGAGAGACTAACATAGCAACCCTACACGCCAGGCCAGGAAGACACAGGAGCTGAAAAGAGAACCAGTTCAGTCTATTTTATTTTGAATTCTTTTGCTCATAATTTGACCAAAAGGCACAAAAGTGGTCTTGCATCTGCTCTTGTCCCTGCTGGTCCAGCGCTCAGCTGGGAGCGCCTGGCTGAGGCTGAGCTCCTGCAGGAGGACTGGAGCTTCTGCCCTGACAGGTGCTCCTGCCGTTTGCCCGCGGCCTCCCCTCTCCATCCAGCGAGAACGGGAAGAAGACGGGCTACCTGAGCGACGGTGGTTCTCACGTCAGTTCTGACTCTGACGTCAGTTTGTTGGCTGCCCAGGAGGGAGACTGGAGACCAGGGCCGTCGGGGCACCTGGGGTCTGCAGCAGGAGGGTGCGTCAGCCCTTTCTGGCGGAGGGAGGGAAGTGTGGATGCCCTCGTGGGCTCCCCCTGGGGTGGCCCCCTGACCCCGAGGCCCACCCTGTCCCTTCCCCTGGGTGTGCGCTCGCTGTCTGAAGGACAAGGCACGTGGGCATCCTGTGTGGCGAGTGTGGGTGATGGGCCCCTTGCCAGACGCAGTCACAGCTTCACTGCTGCAGAGCCATCATCTGGGCAGCATCTCTGCGTTTCCTGAGCCGGGCAGGAAAGGAATTCGCCCAGACCTCCCGTCCCCCGTGGGAGGCCTGGGGGGGAGGAGGGGCCGGTCCAGACCCTGGCCCTGGGACGGCAGGAGTTCTAGTGACCTGTGCTTTTTTAAAACTACGAGTGAACTGTATGTAGAAAAGAACACATTAGTGTACACACACACTCACACACACACATACCGTCCAACCATTGCTGTCACCCCCGCCTGAACAGAAACATTGCCAGCATTTGGGATCTGGTTTCTGCTTTCCTGCGGGCAGCTGCTGTGCTGCTTGATGGGAGAGTTTGCTGTAAGATGAGCAGATGCCCAGAGCACTCTGGGCCGTCATGAGCCGGGCGGCCTGGACACACCACAGGCTGACTCCAGTTCTCCTAAGAGCGTAATCCCATAATGCAGAACAGAAAGGTTTTGCTCCTTTGAATTAATGCCTTAATACTATGCTTGATTTTGTTGAGGGTTTTTTTTTTCTTTTGAGTAAAGAAAATTTAATCCAAAATCGTCATGCGAACTCAAATATTCCTCCTTGATTTTAAGTGTGTTCCCTCTTGAAACCATCGAGGAGGAGAACAGGGAAGGTCTGGTCCTCGGGCGGGTTAATGCCTTTCTGAGCAGGACAGAGACACGTGAGCGCTAGACTGAAGCCCTCTGTCCAGTGGTGACAGATTGGCAGGACATCTGACACTCTGTGTCTCTTGTCTACTGAAATGACCCCCCAGCAGGACGGGGAGGTCTGTGTGTGGACCCACCAGCAACCCCACAGGTGTGGCCCCCAATCTGAGAACAGCCCCTCTCTCTCAGAAGGCTCTGTCCACTGTGCAGAGTTTACAGCTGCATAGTCTGCAGACGAGGCACGCAAACCACATCTGTAAGTCAATCGACCCTCATTTTTGGATGAGGAAAGCTAGGTGCAGGGGAGGCGAGTGATGGGAGAAAACCACCTAGCAGGTGAACCCCAGGGTGGGTGAGACTGGGGCCTGTGGAATCCAGATCCTGTGCTCTTTACAGAGAGGAAAACCGAGTCAGGGCCTTTCAACTTCTGAATACAAAGAGTTTTGGAGGAGGGAGTTCGAGTTAAGTCTTCTTCCTGGAACAGAATCAGGAATTATTTTCTTTCCACTAGTGATCTGACTTACCAGTCGAGCATCTGCAGAGTTGAGTCCCAAGACCACTGGAGTTTGCCTGCTGGTGGTGGGAGCCGGCAGGAGAGTGCTCTTCCTCTCCGCTCACTTAGGACACCAGCTCGTGGGCACCTGGGCGTCTGTGGACAACATGTGGCAGCCTTGGTCACTGCCCTGCTTGTCGAGTAGCAGATGTCTGGTTTTCCAATCCCTTGGAAAACAGAAAGTGCTGTAGTATATTTAGCACTAAAGACGGGAATGCCAAGATGCCGGTGGTCCCTGGTGTCAGACGTTCCAAAATCCTTCAGCTGCAGAAAAGTGGGGACAAAAACAGGAAACTTGCTCGTCGTCTGGGAAAACAAAGTCCGTTGTAGCTTTTTTTCTCACGTTGAAAAAAAAGCGATGGTGTATTTGCATGAGTGAAAACACTCACATGACCCTTACGGTAAAGATGACACCGCTGCAGCAGAGCACACACTCTGCTGAGGGCGTCCCAGCCTTCTCCCGCTGGTCGTGTCAAAATGTGGGCGTCCCAGCCTTCCCCCGCTGGTCGTGTCAAAATGTGGGCGTCCTAGCCTTCTCCCACTCGTCATGTCAAAATGTGGCCGGATGTCCAAGCTTGTTGCACCATTTCTGTAACGTCCCACAGGTTGGTTTCTTCAGATGAGAATGAGAAATTAAAATATTCTAATTTGCTAGCAAAGCTTAAACCTCAGAATTCAATATGCTGGGAGATCTGATAATGTTGACTATGAAATGTGCTGATGAGAAAGAACATCAGCTCAACAGGAAATCCACATCACTGCCATCTACCTATCCATGCACCCATCCATCCGTCCATCCACCCATCCATCCACTCATCCACCCATCCATCCATCTATCCATCAACCCACCCATCCACTCATCCACCCATCTATCCATCCACCCATCCATCTATCTATCCACCCATCCATCTACTCATCCACCCATCTATCCATCCACCCATCCATCTATCCATCCGTCCATCCACTCATCCACCCATCTATACATCCACCCACCCATCCATCTATCCATCCACCCATACATCCACCCATCCATCTATCCATCTACCCATCCATCCATCTACTCATCCATCCATCCACCCACACAAACACCCCCCGCTCCCATCCACCCATCCAGTGGGAGGAAACGGCAGAGGAACCACTTTTATGCTGGCATCAGGGTTCCATAGATGCTGAGCTGGAGGGGAGTTTGGAGGAAACCCTTTCTCTGGGTGTTGATACGATTCAGTAGTGATGGGCCTTGAACTGTCAGGAGATGTAGTGTTTTCCAGACATTTAATAACAGGGTCTGGGATGTTGTGTGTGAATTGCATACTCATATTCATGGTCTGTGCTCTGAGACACAGTTGGGGGCTGTGGGGCAGCAGGGCCAGAGAGAAGGCCCCAGGGAGGATAGCTGTCCTGTCTCAGAGCTGAGCACATCCTGAGGCAGCCTGGGGCACCGCCACGGGGCGGGGCGCCACGGGGCGGGGAGGGCACAGCACAGGAAATGAGCCTCTGAGGCTCCGCGCATCCAGCAGAAGCCCTGGGAGGCCTCCCCCGGCATGTCAGTACTTTGCTCTAATTTTCAGGTTGAGGACAACGCTGGGGACAGTGGAGTGAGTGGCTTGTACCCGTGGGCCAGGCCCTGAGCCAGGGGACCTGCTAACCCAGAGGCTCACAGTTGCCTGAGAGGTCCTCATTTGGTAGGACAGGGGTCCTGCCCAGAGTCTTTCATCCAGCAGGGCTCCCTGGTGGAGGTGCCATGTCTAGCAAGGCCCAGAGTGGACGTCAGGTGGAGACCCCTAGATGGCAGTTCCTGGGCCCACTGGGGCTAAGCCTGGACCAGCACCCAGTGCCCGGGGCCTGGCCCCTGCACGATGACCCTTGGCCCCTGTAAAGTCATCTGGAAAGGGTCCAAGCGCGGCCAGGAAGGGATGGCAGGTCATTCCGCAGGGCACCGCCTCCCCCTGCCCTGCCCCGGAGATAGCAGGCCTCACGGGCGTGTGGATGACTGTTTCAGACAATGTTTTTGTAGTTAATTCACAGTTTCCAAGGGCTAATCTCTGTGGGGTTTCTCATGCTGACTGTGAGTGGAGTACACCCCTTCTGTGACTCCTTTATCTTACCCAAATAAAGACAACAGATACTGGCTCCCTCACAAATTCACACCTTCCCTGAAAGAAAAATGGCGATAATGTTGAATGGACACATTTATCAGCTCCTGTTTCAATACTAGCGTTTGGAAGGATAAACAGTGATATAAGCAGTTACCTAAGGTAAGGGTTCACTGGTCAGAACAAGCTCGAGGCCAGGATGAGGCGACCGTGTCCCCCAGGATGAGAAAGGAGACTGGCGAGAAGGACCACCCTAGAAAGTGGAATGGAGTGAAACCCAAGGGAAGAAAGCAGTCGTCAGCCTCCCGTCTCAGCTCCTTTCTGCGGCCAGAGGGGACAGAGGCATCCTTGGCTTCTCCTGGCAAGGCCCACCCTTGGGCAGGACGCCCCCCCGTCCTGCAGACCCCAGACAGCTGAGGGAGGCTGGGGCCTTTCAGCTGGAGGTCATCAGTGTCAGGCTGTGTTTCCCGAAATTACTGTGGTTTTTTTCCCCCAAAGAACCATCTATGTTGGAAATATCAAATATAGCAGATCTCTTCCCTAAAAAGGAATAAAGGGCAGGCTTACTTGTGCCTGTGTGCTTTTTTTTTTTTTCTTCTTCTCTGGTGCCTGAAATAAAGGTCAGTTGCCTGAAGGAAGTGTGACGAGGGAGGGAGGAAAAGGTGAAAGTCTAAAACTCAGACTTGAGATTACTTATCTCAAGAGAGACCACAGATAAATAGACCAGTTTGTACCAGCAAATCAGTCAATGGTATCACTGTGCATTTAAGTTTAAGAAAAACAGAAGAAGTGCTGATAACCCTTGAAGCCACCTCCTCATGGGGAGCAGGGTTAGAACCACAGATTCCAGAATGCAGTGTGACCTTAGAGATGCTCTGTGTCCTCCCCCCAGCATGCCAACATGACTCTCTCAGGAAGGTTTCCTGGTCATTATAATTCCAAAGTATGTGATAGACACAGAAAACAGGTAATTTGCAGATCTATCCATGTTAGGGAATTTACCTTTGCTGAGACATAGAACTTTCACATGACCATCAGTCACAGCACACGTCCCCTGTGTGAGCATTGCTCCGGCCGAGCTACAACCCGCCTCTGACGTCACAGCAGCTCCTGGCTCCACTGGACCCACAGGTTCGGAAGTCGAGCCCAGGTGTGACCCGTCAATATTTAGTCACATCTCGTGGACCTTGAACTTTGATTATTAAAGGAAATGGCATTTTGCGGAAGAGAACCGAGTTTTAGGGTTGCAGTCTGTCTTGAAGATGGATGGGTTGGGTCTCTGGTTTCACAATTCCTCCCAAGTCAATGACATCAGCCAACCTTGTCCTAAACCCTGAAACCATAGACTCTTCGTGGCCGGCTGTGACTTCAGGCCCGTTGGACCGAACTCCACCTCAACCAGGACTCTGTTCGGCTCTTCCCAGCTCTCCTGCCGCCTCCCCTGAACTCTCATTAAGGAAGGGGCGGATCTTCCTTATTTGAATTAACCCCACCTCCCGCTCTGCATGCGAGGCTTGCACGTTTGGGGTCATGGCCAGTTGGCCCGGCATTTTCACATCGTACCCTTGGCCACCTGAGGTGTTCAGCTGTCTGTGCCTCTGTTGTTCTCAGACTCTTTTCCCAGGGGCTGGGGAGACCATAAAGGTGGAGGCCTCTGGAGAAGTCAGACCCAGGAAGAGCAAAGCAGGACCCCCCCCCCCCCACCCCTGGGACTGAATTCTGCCCCAGGACCCCCCCACCCCCTCTCCGGGACCGAACTCTGTCTGCTGTCGGGCCACGGATGGGGGTGTGAGGGCAGAGACTCCAGGGGAGGTGGCCTGGCTGCCCTCCCCGCCCTGCACCCTCTCACCTCTGACCCCCGCTGCCAGGAGTCGGGGCAGAGGCTGCAGTGACCCCAGGCTCTCTGCCGGCCCTGAGGCCCCCACCTCTGTAAGTTCGACGGTAGGATCCTCAGGACCTGAGACAGGAGACGGTTCTCCTTGGCTTTCCAGGGACTTCTGCTCTCCCTTCAGGAGACCCCCGACCCCTCTGCCTCCCTCCCCCACCACACACACAGTCAGCGAGTAAGGGCAATTCTGGGCTCTGAATTTCAGAAGCCTGGACTTAGGACGGCCCTGGCTGCCTCGCCAAGCTTGACCCATGACGCACGGCTGACGGGGTGATGAGGGCAGGCGGCCTGCACAGATGGACCCTTCTCAGATCCTCTGCTTTGCCCCTCACCCCTGGGCTGCCGGTGGTGTGGGTGGTTGTGGAGAAAGTCCTGGGAAAGAGCCTCAGTGCCCCCAGAGCTGGAGGAGGGGCAGGGAGAGCTCTCAGAAGTGTCTGGTCCGGAGCGAGGGGACGTGGGTGTGGCCCAGAGGACAGGTGTGAGGAGGTCACCTTCAGGGCCCAGGGTGACCTCTCCAGACCAGTAACCAGAAGGCAGGAGCAAGCGTGTCTGCAGGACCAAGCACAGGTGGGCCGGGCGCCGGCATCCCTCGGCCCCCTCCCCGCCTCTTGTGTGGCTCTGGGGTCACCTCGAGCCAGCCCAGGGGTCCCCATTGCCCGGGAGTGGGGCCCCCAACAACGCCAGCTCATGTTCAGCACAAGACCAAGGTTTCCTTGTGAATGGAGATGAACGCAACATGCATCTGGTGACGAACCTCCTCTTGTTCTGAGTTAAAACACCTAATGTGGGGAGAGGAAGCGGGGACAGACTATCGCCCAGGCCAGCACGGGGCCACGCCCCACATGTCAGGGTGAATGGAAGGTGCTGAAGGTTTGAGAAGGAATATGTGAACTTTCTCCATTTACTCTCGATGCCAGGAAATGCAGTAATGAACAAAACAGCCAAGGCTGCTCCCTGGAAGGCCACGGTCTTTGCAGTGTGCCCACACCCCTGGGGAATGTCCACCCGGACCACGTGGCCGGCGGTGCCAAGGGGACAGTCCTCGGTGTTTGCGTGTTTACCGTGGACTTTGCTGGGGCCGAGCCCATGCTCCTCGCTCCTGAGGAACGGGGCGAATGGCTAATCACACCTGATGTGCTAAGTGCTTTTCTTGTGCGGCTCCTGGAGCTGTGTCCTATTTCCAGTGGTGTTTATAAAGGCATTAGCACTCTCGTTTTCTCATGGGCAGGACTGAAGTACATATTATCATGGTTTCTCAGAGGCTGTGGGAATAGCCACAGGGGCAGGTTTAACTGCCCTTATGTTAGGTGTGGCTGGGTGAGCGTTTCCTTAAAGACAGTTTTGTCAAGACATAACTCACGAGCCCTCCATGGCATCTACTGAGAGCGTACAATTCGATGTTTTCAGTACTTTCATGGTTGTGCAGCTGTCAACACAAAGGGTTTTAGAACACAGTCAGCGCCCCAAACCTGTGGCATCCACTCTCGTTTCCTTCTGCCCACCTCCTGCCCTGGGCAACCACCAGCCTTAATTCCTGCCTCCACAGAACTGCTGTTCTGGATACTTCATGTGGATAGAATCACACAAACCATTTTTTGTGACTATTTTCAAGGTGCATCAGTACATTACTACTCTTTACAGCTGAATGTTGTCTCACTGCTGGGTGGACCATGTCCTTGCCCACTCACCAGCTGATGGACCCTGAGCTGTTTGCTTTCTGACTGTTGTGAACAATGCTGCCATGAACGTTCATCTAAGGGCTTTGGTGGACACAGATTTTCATTTCTCTCGGGTGTAGACCTAGGACCAGACTGGCTGGGCCCTATGGTAACTCTCCATCTACCCTTCTTCCTAGTGAACTTCTAGGCTGTTTTTCAAAGCAAATGCACATTTTACATCCCCACCAACAAAGTACAGCGTCCCAGCTTCTCTGTGTCCGCACCTCCCGACCCCTGGTCTCGCCTGTCTTTGTGGTCTCAGCATCCAACGGGGGTGGGGATCACCTTTTCATGTGTTTATGAGCATTTGTATGCCTTTGGGGGGAAATGTCTAGTCACATGTGTTGTCCATTTATAAATCAAGTTGTTTGCCATTTTACTACTGAGTTGCAAGTTTTCTTTATATGTTCTAGATACAAAACCTTCGTCAGACACATGCTTTGCAAATACTTTCTTCTATTCTGTGGGTGTCTTTTGAAACACGAAAGGTTTAAATTTTAATCAAGTCTAATTTACCCATTTTCTCTTTTGGTACTTCAGGTTGCAAATTCTTGATGTTAAACAAATAAACATTTTTGAATGCCAGTTTTCTTTAGAGAGATGATAGATGTTTTAAAATGTGATGTTGAATATAAAGCACTTTTTAAGTTTTTAGCTTAGAGGTGAAAGCTTATGGTTATTTGAAAACAGGATGTTTACTGTATTATTGACACAATATGATAGCTCCATTTCTGCTATCAGCCTCACCTGGCAGGATCTTTTATAAAAACCCTTCCAGGCAGCATATGAGTGCGTGTGTCATGTTACTGCTCTGGAGACAACGGCTTTGCTGCACCTCATTGGTAAAGGTACGGGTTCTCTCTGTTCGCTTTGTTCCGTGTCTGACCCTGGATAGGGGCTGGCTCTGTGAACCAGAGGAAAGCTTCCGGGGCTGTTTGGAGGCCATTTGTAAGGAGCTATCATGAAGTCAGCTTTGCTTTTCTGAACTGACCAATGAACAAGGTAAAGCAAACCTTGGAGACTTTTCTCAGGGAAGAAAACCATGAAGCTGTCAGCTCTGGACGGCCAGGCACTCCCTGGCAGAGCTGGGGGAACAGGACTGCCCCTGCCCCTGCCCCCCTCCCCTTCCTGAGGCCAGGGGCTCAGCCATGCCTGGAGCGGGTGGGGGTGACCCTTCCTCCTCTGCGGCCAGACCAGAGGTGCTGAGTCTCGGTGCCTGTGGACACGGATCAAACAGTGGAACAAATGAGGCCAGCCCGGAGTCCCAGGATTCATTAGTATCCTTAGGTTTTCAATGCACTTGGTTGTTAAAAGTGGACAAATAAAGAGCAAGTTCAAATTAACAGGTGACGCTTCTGTCCCGCCTACCTGCTTGGGCTGAACGGCATCCCCTCTGAGCTCACGCGTTGAAGCCGAACCCCTGGGTCCTCAGAAGGCAATCTGTTTGGAGATGAGGGTTTAAAGAGGTAATTAAGTTAAATGAGGTCACTGGGGCCCTAGTTTAACCTGCCAGGGTCCTCACAGGAAGAGTAACTGGGACGCAGACGGGCACAGAGAACAACCACATGAGGACAAGACCTCAGGAAGGAGCACTCTGCCAACACGCAGTCTCAGCTTCTAGCCCCAGGACCGTGTGCATTCCTGCGCGCGAGCCGCCCCACCCATGGCGCCTGCTGCTGCAGCCAGAGCAAGCGAATGGATCACCTGTGCCCACTAACTTCTGTGAAAGGTCTGTCCTTTCCCCTCGGAAACTGGGAAAACGTAACAGGAGAATGCACATTCTCTCCTGTCTGTTACTGGTGCTTCAAGCAGGTGTGTATCCTCCCAGCTGAGCTCTGCAAAGCATTCAGAAAGCACTTCTGATCTTCATCGTTGATTGCTAAAGCAAGCACGTGAGGTCCCGAGTGTTACCAGCCACAGTTCACACTGAAGAAGTGGAGACTCGGCCTAAGAAATGCAGCTGGTGAGCAGCAGAGGAAGGGCAGACCCCGTCCGGGCCCTGAGCCCCTTGTCCATGGGTGAAGGCTGTGTTCCTGGCAGCAGGCTGGCTGCTTCTGGGAAAGGCATTGCGAGTTGAAATGATGTCAGTCCAGTTCAGTTTATATTATGTGTATAAAAACTTTACGTGATTTACATCATAATGGAGGTGAGAATATGGAGCACGTGCTGAATTCTGAGATGATTACTCAAAGAACAAACAGCACATGTGCTCAGGGCTCAGTTAAGCCCTGCACTAGTACCTGCTCCAATAAAACCTCACTTCATTTTTAACGTCACCCTGGAGAGGGACCGCATGTGCAAAGTGGGATGAGGCTGTAGGTTTTGTGGGGACAGGTGGGAGTCCTGGCTTCCAGGGTTTGCCTGAGGCTGTGGGCTGGAGGGACTGCAGGAGGGGCTCAGGGTGGTGGTTATCTGATATCTGCCTGGGACTCTGCCTTCCCAGGGCCATGGGAAGCCGGGTGTGCTGGCTGGGGGACCCTGGGCACAGCTGGGGTGTGTGGGTCTCTGGCTGAAACCTGATGGTTGAGAGAAGCCTCAAGCGTTCTTTGTTTTCAGGGCAGCCAACGAGCCCACAGCAGCTGCCGCTTTGCTGTCAAGACCTGCCCGCATAGGGCCACCACCTGCCGGGCGCAGCAGCTGATACCCGGACAGAGCCGTGTGCGCCTGCCGCCCCAAGCCAGAGCCCCTTTGCCAGGAGGACGGGGTCCAGCTGTGGGGCAGCTTCCCCACAGCCCCACCCCCAGCCCCGGTCTCCAGCAGCGAGACCCATCACCCTGGACGTGAGCTAAGCGCATCCGCGGGGCGTCTCTGGCCATCTGTGTTCAGGCCAGCGAAGCAGGAAGAGGTGGTTGTTTTCTTAAGCAAGTCCCTGTCCTGAGCCTGCAGCTGGAAGGAAGGGGCTGCTGTTACTTTCGGGGGCGCTGGGAGCGCAGGCGGGTGGGGGCAGCGGCTGGGCTGGGCTCTGCAGTGGCCTCCGGTCACGGTCGGTGACGTCGCTGGGAGGCCCAGTGGCTCCCCTGCGTCCTCTGACGGGGAAGGTGACGTTGACGCTGTCGGGAAGTTGGGACCAGACCGAGATGTGATTATCACGTCACTTTGTCTGTATCCTGACGGGGATCTCAGGGCAGCCCAGTTAGAAGAGAAACTGAGGGCTTCTCACTCGCCCACAGACTCCAGTCTCTTCTTCATTTTAATTATAAAGAAACAAAAAGCAACCAATGGACAAAAAACTCCAAAAACCAAAATAGACAATTTTGAGGCTATTTGGTCCTTCTTCTCTTTCTCCTTCCTGCCTCTCTCATATGCTGCATCTGTCTGTTTTTCTATCCGTTCATCATCTGTCTCTCTCCATCTGTTATCCCTCTGTCCATCCATCCATCACCCATCTATCCACCACCTGTTATCTGCATCTACCTATCCAGCTATTGCCAATCTAGCATCTTTATCTATCCATCTATTTCCCCTCTATCCATCTATCATCTATATGAATTTGAGCGGAAACAAGGAAACCATGGCTGTCTCTCACCCCTACAATCTAGTGGGAAGGTGTGCTGTGAGACGCGCCTGTCTTGACCCCCGACAGGACTCAGAGCCTCCCGTGGGGCCCGGTGTCTCCTGTCCTGTGGACCTGAAATGGGAAAAAGAAAGAGGGACTGTAGGTTCTCTGTGGAGCGTGAGAGCAGCTCTCCCGCCATTTCCAGGAGGAGGGTGTCCCCGGCATCCTGCTTTCTGCGGTGGGATTCGTGTGTCTGTCTCTCAGCCTCCTGGTGGCCACGAGCTGCCAAGGGCCTCCCTGAAGGCGCGCCCGAGGCTCCCGTTTTGCGCCCGCGCTCTGCCGGGCGTGTGCCCGCCCAGGGGTGTTCGGGACTGGGGCTCGGTCTTGCTGTTCACTGTGCGTCGCCAGCACCGCGCCCTCGGTGCCCCGCGAGGCGCCCCGGCCCCCGGAAGCTGCGAGGGACCCGCGGTCTGAGGCCGGATTCTCGTGAGAAAAGCGCAGGAGGGACAGGAAGTGGGACCGCGGAGCCGGTTCTCACGACTCGGCTGGGGCAGCGGAGGACGGCTGGCCCCCGGACCTGCAGCTGGTGTCTTTGATGCTCTTGCCCCCTCCCGGCCCTCCCGCCATCCTCTCTGTGGAAGCGGGGTCTCTGCACCAGGCCTGTTCCCGCGAGTAGCTCCCACTGCTCCTCCCGCGGACTGGTGGCCCGCTCCTCGGCTGCCGGGGCGTCCTCGTGGACGCATATGGACTGAGGCTCTCCTGCCCGCGCCTCATCCCACGGGGCGGAAAGAGATGCCCTTCAACTGACCGAGTCCTGTTTATTTTAAATGATCACAGCACAGAAGACGAAGCACCAGTTGGAACATCAGTTGTCCTTTCGATGCTGGAGAGGATGCCCAGCCCGGAAAGGAGGAGGCCCCTGGGACAGGAGCCTGGTCTCCAGGGAAAGTCCTCTCTCTGAAGACCTCACTTCGCTCACACAGACGGCACCCTAAAAAACGGAAGATCTTCCTGCTGCCGAGCAAGAGGCTTTGTCCTCCAGTCCAAAGGCTCGGCAGCCACGGGAAGGCTGGAGGGGGCCATGTGGCCTGAGTGCCGGCCGCCTGCTGCCCCTGCCCGCTGCGGGAGCCTGGTCTCCAGGGAAAGTCCTCTCTCTGAAGACCTCACTTCGCTCACACAGACGGCACCCTAAAAAACGGAAGATCTTCCTGCTGCCGAGCAAGAGGCTTTGTCCTCCAGTCCAAAGGCTCGGCAGCCACGGGAAGGCTGGAGGGGGCCATGTGGCCTGAGTGCAGGCCGCCTGCTGCCCCTGCCCGCTGCGGGAGCCTGGTCTCCGATGGTTGCGTCGCTGCTGAGCCACGCGTTTGAGGCAACATTTGCTTAACCAGATTACCTGGCTGGCCACAGGCCAGGAGGCCTGATCCTTCTAATTTGTTTTCTGTTTAAACTGAATTTACAGCTCCCGGGTCTTTGGGTAGAAAATCGCTGAGGGGCATGAGCAGCTTTGTCGCTTGTGAAACCAATGGCGCAACAGGTCCAGAGTCAGCCGCCGGTGCGGCCGTGGGCAGGGACGGGCTCAGAGGCTCCTGCCGGAAGGGTGTCTCTAAGCAAACCCTGCGATACACAGACTCACATGCTTAGAAACCAGACTGTGATGAGCACAGGGGGAGCGCTGTGGTGGGGATGAATCAGGCGCTCGGGATCGATGTGTACACACTGCTTTATGTAAAATAGATAAGTGCCGAGAATCTACCGCAGAGCACAGGGAAATCTACCCAGTACTCTAACAGTCTGAAAGGGAAGAGAATCTGACAGAATGAATAAGTGTGTGTGCATAGCTGATGAAACTAACATAGCGTTGACATCAACTATACTCCATCAAAATAAAAAAGAGAAGCATCTACACAAATAACAATACAGGGCAGGGTGACTAGTTGGAGTGATGGAGCACATCGCAGTTGGATGAGCCCGGGAGAGGCGTGGGCACCCGCACGTGCCCACCTCTGGCCCCGGAGCATGCGACGTGCCGTCAGATGGCCTGTGACACGTGACCTGAGCTAGCCAGGATCCTGCCCTGAGTCCCCTGTGGATGACCACAGGGTCTTGGACACAGACATGCCTTGGCCTGGGTCTTTGAAGCATTGTCTCCTGCCAAGGATGTCACTGGATACACAGGGTGACCCATGGACCCTCTGCCCAGGACTGAGGGATTTGCAGGAGTGAGGGGCCTCTGGTACTAAATCAGGGACTGTCCTGGGAGATCTGGGATGAGCTGGTCACCCTAAGAGGTCGTTAATTTTCTTCCTGTAAGGTTTCAGATCGAGAAAGGAAAGTACTGGGTTAAAATCCCTGTAGAAAATCTGCCGAAGGCAGGAGCATCTGTGAGAAGCCTGGGGCCAGGACACGGGCATGTCTACAGTTTTAGGCCAATGTACTTACCTTTAGGGCCCTCCTTCCTTCTCCCTCCGTGCCCCCTCCGCCCCTCCCTTCCTTCCTTCCCTCCTCCCCTCCTTCCAGCCCTGGACATTTCACCTGATGCCGGGTCCCCTGGCCAGTGGAGCACTAGGCCCCAGGCCCGGCCCCTGGGAAAGGGTCATCTTCCCAGGCTTGTTGTTTTTGTCACACACAACCTCCTTAAACAAGTGGCCTCAGCACACTCACCTGCTCATTGTTGCTTGCTTGTTTGCTTTTGAACTGTCTGTATACAGAGGAGAGGGATTTATTTTGCCAAATAAAATCAAGGACGGCATCATCTACCCCATCCTGACAAGTGATCAAAGCTCAGAGATGCGGTTCTGGCTCCTGTGATATCACATCTCCGACCTGCTGTCCTGTCAGTAAAGTGGGCAATAACCTTGTCCTCTTCCTCCTCCTGTGAGCATAGAGGTGCTTCTGGAATTCTAGCAGGAACATGGCTGTTAAGATTTCATGGAGAGGCTCAAATATAAGATGGATGTTAAAGAATAGGCAAGATTTTGTTAAAGATAAAGATGAAAGAGGAGAGTGAAAAAGCTGACTTAAAACTCAGCATCCAAAAAAGTAAGATCATGGCATCTGGTCCCATCACTTCAAGGCAAATAGGTGGGGAAACAGTGAAAACAGTGACAGACTTTATTTTGGGGGTCTCCAAAATCACTGTAGATGGCTGACTGCAGCCATGAAATTAAAAGACACTTGCTCCTTGGAAGAAAAGCTATGACCAACTTAGACAGCATTTTAAAAGCAGAGACATTACTTCGCTGACAAAGGTCCGTCTAGTCAAAGCTATGATTTTTCTAGCAGTCATGTATGGATGTGAGAGCTGGACCATAAAGAAAGGTGAGGGTTGAAGAATTGATGCTTTCTAACTGGGGTGTTTGAGAAGACTCTTGAGAGTCCGTTGGACTGCAATCATAAAACACTCAATCCTAAAGGAAATCAACCTGAATATTCATTGGAAGGACTGATGCTGAAGCTGAAACTCTAATACTTTGGCCACCTGATGCGAAGAGCTGACTCATTTGAAAAGATCCTGATGCTGGGAAAGATTGAGGGCAGGAGGAGAAGGGGACGACAGAGGATGAAGTGGTTGGATGGCTTCACCGAATCAATGGACATGAGTTTGAGTAAACTCCGGGAGTTGGCGATGGACAGGGAGGCCTGGAGTGTTGCAGTCCATGGGGTCGCAAAGAGTCAGATACGGCTGAGTAAATGAAGAACAACACTTTCTTATGAGAATTTTGGAGTGCTTATTTTAGAAATCACAGAGATATGAGAGTAGAATAACCTTTCCACCAGATGCAACTAGTGTGAGAGGAAGGTTCCTGCCTCACTGTCACTCAGAACAAAAACCAGGCCCAGGACGAACGATCATTGCCATCCAGAGTGCACACACTTGGGCTGTGACACTGGTCCTCCTGACGGCCCAACTCGCTTCTCCCAGGGCCCTTCGTGGCCATTCAGTTACTTGACCAGGTCTGGACTGCCAAGGACAGAGCGAGACTCAGGATGGTCAAGAGCAGGTGGGCGGCTGGGCGGGGAGCCGGGCCTCAGGGGCCTGGGGGGCTGGTGAAGGGGCGGCCAGTCGGCCCCGGGCCTCCTGCTGCAGGGTCTCAGGTTCAAAGCCCCCGAGGCTGGGGGCTGTCCCCCAACCTGGAGGCGGCCTGGGGGAATCTTCAGCAGCTCCTCAGCGGAGGACGCCCCCAGCACCGTCCCGATGGGCTCAGTGGACATGGGCCCTGCTGGGACAGGAGCAGCAGGAGCAGGAGGCAGATGGGGCGAGTCTGGTCAGAGCCCCGCCGAGTCCATGTTGGGAGAGAGAGTTCCTGCCAACTCCACGCTGGGAGAGAGAGTGTTCACGCCGAGTCCACACTGAGAGAGAGCGTCCCTGCAGAGTCCATGCCGGGAGAGAGAGAATCCCCGCTGCATCCACGCCGGGAGAGAGAGCATTCACGCCGAGTCCACACTGGGACAGAGAAAGTCCACACTGGGACAGAGAAAGTCTCTGCTGCGTCTATGCCGGGAGAGCACACTGCCTTCGTCCTCCATGTGGAGGCCCTCACGTCACACCCCTCACGCCCCGGACAGGTGGGAAGGGGCGCGATCGCAGGGCCAGGCCCTGTTCTGTCCTGAACAGATGGAAGGACAGGTTTCCTGCTAGGGAGTCAGAGCCTCTCACTCCTGGGTGGGGATGGGGGAGGAGGGTAGAATTACTGCGACTTTATTCCCTGCCCTGAGGAGGAGGCTGCCTTGACCTTGCTCCTGTCCCCACCCTGCACCGTCGGGCTCAGTCCTGCTTGGTGACATCCGTGTGTGTGCACACGCAGTGACGGTGAACACAGCTCTCTCTCACTCACACATGCACACACGCACACCCGGGCCACCTCCAGGTTGGGGTATAGGCAGCCGTGATCTGCTTGTAGCAGCTCCAGGAATCTTTGCAAGCCCCCGAGCCCAGGGCATCCCTACTGGTCTTTTTTTTTTTTTTGCCTCAGAGAGTGTGTGGCCGGCTATATAAGGGAGCAGGGAGCTTAAGTGCTGACAGGAGCAGCAGGGCTGGAACAGGTGCATCCCTTCCTCTGCAAGCTCGGGGGCGGTCACGGTCCTGGGCTCGACCCCTGCAGTCCCCGTGCACCTGCTGGCGATTCCTCAGACCTGGGCCGAGGCAAGGGGCTGTGAGGTGCGGGGGGTGAGGCTGCTCGTGCTCATCGTGCATTGGGCTTCCCTGTGACCCTGTGCTCACGCCCCTCACAGGATGTCCATCTGAGAAATGGGCTCCAGATAGCTCGTGCTCTGTACTCCCCGGACCAGGTGGGCCCCCCTAATGCCCCTGAAAGAACCTCCAGAAGAAACTTCAGTGCAGACTGCCTTAGAGAAAGTTTGCCAGAAATGTGTATTTTTAAAGATACACTTTGTGGACCAGGAACTTGGGTGAAGTTTCCTGCCAGTTCAGCCCACAGGGCTCTTCCCAGGTTGGAAGAAACTTGAGCTCAGCTCTGAAGGCCAGCTATTGCTGCTCCATGGACACTCATGAGGAAGTTAGTTTTCTATGTCAGAGGAGAAAACGCCCTTGGCTGGGATTGGGAACTGGAAACAAACTGAATTTACTATGAAATTACTTGAAGGAAATGTCTTCAGCCTCATGTAGATACATCAAAATAGTTTGTCTATTCCTCCCCCCTTTTTTGGTTTGAAGACCAAAATCAGTTTTAATGGAAGTAATCTGAAATGAATGGTCTCTATAAATTAATGAGGTCTTAGCATCAGCCAGACCCTTTATTCCGCAGTTTAAACAG